CTCTGATGGCAAATAAATGGATTCTTGTAGCGACAACAACACGGTTAAGATAAATGAAACAAGATTTTATGAATCACACTAGACCGAAAAATATAAGAAAATAGTTTATAACGAGGCTCTTCCTAAATTCTAATAACAGAGTCAGTTTTATTATAACAGAGATTGGTGATTAAACCATTAATTAAAATTAAAGTGGTGTGGTGTTTGAATGAACTAGTGATTCCTTTGTACTTGTTGAATGCTCGAATTCGAATTCGAAATACTGTACATCCGTTCGTGCCTATCTATTGCTTCTTGATCCAATTGAGTTATTTCTGGGATTCTTAGTTCGTACTATAATTCAAATACTCCTAATTACCACAAGTGGTTAACTAATTCTTTACGTTATGTAAAAAGGGAAAATGATATCTCCCGTGCTAATAAAACAGAACATAATCACCGGTATTCGGAAAAATGAAATGCAGAAAAGGTTTCCGTGTTTCTGGTTCTATGATACTAGTTACTGTAATTCTGTTTGATTATGTCTGTTTTGTAACAATCTGTAAAAATGAATGATTCGCATTTTACAGTATCTCAATTAATATGTGAGAGTCCTAACTCTTATAGCGTTCATAATAATATGTATCACTGACTCAAACTTTACCTCAAGCTACCAAAATGTTGGTATTTTGATGGATTGACAGATCCTAAGCAACTAAATTCGAAGACACTAGTAATTAAACCACCAACCAATGACTGGGTGATTATACCCCACTATAGCAATATCAAAGGTAACCATCAGTGAAGTAATCTATTTATCGTTTGAATGGTTAAACTCATTTTGAACTTTCTTACTACTGAGTGACTTCAGTTTAGCAAGATTCTATGTAATTATAAGCAGAGATGGATAGTGGTTATCAGTGGACGCGTGTTTCATCCTGTTCTGAACTCGTCAGCTGCATGTGTATGCATCCTACAGTTGATTTTCACTTCAGAACTCAAATCCAGTACCGTTCGCTTCAAACAACATCACGTTATCCACTTAGTTACTGAGTCCTGATAGCCACTAGTTTGTGCAATGTAGTGAAACTTAATTCATTTTTGTATTGGTTATTTGAATGTTCTCAGTGATGTCTAGGACTGAAATTGATCAGTCATTTATTGACATATGTGCATGAACTGTGGAATGCAGGTAGACGTAGCTGGCCAATCTGAAATAGGAGGAATATTGCGTCCTGAATTTCACTGTTAGCCACCATCTGTCTATTCTTTTATCATTTTTGACTTAAGATAATGTCAAGGTGATCCGCAGTTGCAGTCCTAAACATCTATTGGAAGATTTAAACAACCACTACAAAACTGAATTAATTCTATGTAATTTTTCTGTTTGGTGGTAACTAATGGATACATATTTTATAAATTAATTTATTAATTTATCGTCTACAACGAGCCCATTCTCAAAACTATACAATCGTATATACATGTATTAATTTATTGGTTATATTTATACGATATATATGCTCATATGCATAAACTGATAGATAAATACCAAATAGGTTTATTTAGTGGTAAAAAATATGGACAAGAATATATCAATTTATCTTTTTGTCACAATGCGTTTATTCAGATATTTGCTTAGTTATTTAATAAAAACAATCATAATAATGTATTCACTTACCTCCGTTTGGTTTCCATTGGAAATTTGGGTCCAGTCCTTTATTCAACCATTTATTAACTTTATCTACATCATCCACCTTGACATATTCAATAAACTGACGAAAATTTGCCTTAGAATATGCAATTGATAGAAATAAATTATAAGGATAAACGATTAAAATAAATTACTTACACTAAGGTAAACATAACGAGAAGGGTGAATAAGTGAACAAGCTGAAACCAGTTGGATAAATATTGAAGATTTCACGAAAACTGATATAATAATGGATGATCATAAACTCACTAATGAATAGCTTTGAAGCAAGTTTCCTGAAGTTTCTGTGTAAACTATGGGTCAACAAAGTCGAAATTAAGATGGGGGATCGATGATAACGTTAAATAAGCAACTGATTTATAAAATGGTTCAGCCAAAGTTGGAAAACATAAATCAACAGATATAACCATTTCGGTTCATATTTGTTGTGTTCACGGTGGGAATTATGGGTCGTTTTCACTTCAATTGTAAATAAAATCTAGATCAAATGCTCATTGATGAAGTAGTCAAACCTACATTTGAGACAATTTTTAGATAATTGATGACAGTAACTTACAATTTCTAATAAACCAAATGATTGAGTTACTACAACAACGTTAGTGATACGTGAATTCGCTCAATGAACATACTAGTTTACTTAGTAATTTGCTTTCTGTTATTTCCGCTTAATTCAATGGAGAATCTCACTATTATGGACTATAATATTGAGTGATTGAAATGATTAATCTAACACATTGCTCACTGCTATCGTTATTACGAAACTATCTAACAGTTCTGAAATCCAACTCCAAGGCTTCAGACCTAGGATAGACGATAACATTGAGCTACTATGATAAATTTTATTTGTTCAGGTAATTGACTCAATTCGACTAAAATATAAGTAATTCAAGAAGATGTCAGATGAATGTCTACTATTCTAAAATTCTCAGTTTTTATGTGATCGAAAGTCCCTTCGGTTAGCAACATTCTCAAAATTTAGAATGTCCAATTAAAACATGTTAGATACATGGGGTGTTTCCACTAAAGTCGATAATCAATTTTAAAATTACAGTATTAGGTGCCTTCAAAAATAATGAGTAAATTTATTTGTTTATTTAAAACAGAAAATCTTGTACAACTAAGCACTGAAAATAGTAATTGATGGACGATATCAAAGTTACTGAGATGATGGGCCCAAAACGCGAACAAGTCACATGAGTCAATGTTTAAAAACGGTGAAGACACAGCTAACTATTAGAAAGCCATTCAGGCGTACAAACTTTTCAAGTGCTTCTAACAGATCACTACAAAGAATGAGTGCAGGCCTGTGACTCTATCAGTGCGGTAGTAGCGATTTGCTTTTAATAAGTGAAAAACAAATGTCATACTAACGGGCACCGATTCCTGGCTGAATAAGTATAATTTGGATAGCTTGTGTATAATCTTAAAGTAAAACAACATCAGCGCTATAATTAAGGTCAAAAAATCTTTCCAAGATACAAATCCACATCCTCAATATATACTACCTTCAAAGCTTTTTCCAAAATGTTAACCTTGGAGAAGAATTGTGTGCTTAGATAACTCTGTTTAACCCCACTACCAGATTTGGATAACAGAGAGAGGTGATTTTAAGCCTTCACCTTACCTGAAATGTATATACATATAGGGTTTTTAAGGTGTTAATAAGATTCCTAAGCACATTGTTCTTTAACAGATAATCCTAGAGAACAGTTCTCTCCAACAAAACGAAGGATCGCCTTGTATCAAGTTACACAACAATTGATGGCCTGCAATACATGAGGCAGTACTCTTACGTTTGAAAGTAGGGTAAAATGTGACTGATATATACACAAACTGGTAAGAAACCAGACCACTTGTTATGAATCACTCTATCATCGGTTTTGTCAATCTGTGAAATATGACGGAAGCAGTACTTCGGACCTAATCTAAAGTAGACTTATTCTCTGATGGCTGATCCATGAATTACGTAAGTTCTTTCTGAAGATGGAGATGACAATAACTTGATCCTGTGATGTTCAAGCGTTCTCTATTTCCAATCCTTTTATCAAACAACTCAGTCAGGTGCGCGATCATAAGTCATACATATCCTAGAATATAGCAAGGGATACTTCGCCAGGGCTTTGTGACTTATGGCGCCCCAGAATTTTAGAATTCTTGGGGAACTCTTGTTCATTAGGCGGATAGGCAGTTACAGACTAAACAAGCCAAGACAGTCGAGACATCACTGGAGTAATAACTTATCTAAACTGTTCCTTTGCCATCATCAAAGAGAATATTAGGTGTTACTAATTGAAGTTTCATCAAATTCACAGACACGAGACCTCTTACTGCTAATGACTTGTATGTGTTGAACTACTCTATAACTGGTAAACAAGTGTCCTCTGTCTCTATGTCTACTTCGTGAAATTTCTTCACATAAGAATCAGTGTGCATCATCAAACACATGGACCACCGAAGCAGACCTTAGGAGTATTTAGATAAAAAAATGTATTATATCATATAAAATCAAACAAATAGTTCGTAAAATTTGTGGTCTGATGATATTTCTTTGTGTTTTAATCAGCATCGCTCTATTTTAAACATTTCTGACTGATAAATAATAATTAATTTTTATCTTTATTTTATAATTACCTCTTCTCCATTATTCAAGATGATACTCGAAGTTTTTGAGAACTAATAGAATGCTTAGCGATAATCATAATTTAATTAACATTTATATGTCCTAAGTTTAAGTGAAGTAGTTGACAAAATAAACGTTATGAATGTCTAAAGTCAAAAAAATAATATTGTTCATTCATTTATTGAATCAGAAGATATTCATTGTGGAAACCAAGGTAGTTGACCAAACATCTATTAGTCTTTGACCAGTCGTTTTAGATAAAGGTATCTGACTTATTTGAAAGACCGTTGAGATCTCTGAATTAGCACTAAACTATTACTGAGTGGATGTGTCAAATCTTATCATTTGATGCATTATCCAGTTCTCGTCACTACGTGGCTTGTCACTTTATGTTTTATTTACTAAAACCAATATTAGAGATCTATCATGTTACTCAGCATCAAATTTCATCTAAACAGAGAGACAGATCTTGAAGGCTTTATCAGTCTGCACGTTGGCCCACCGCTAAATTATCAATCGAGTTTTCAGATAACGCTAACTCTTACTCTTAAATAATAGTCTTCATCAGCAAGGCTTATTTTTAATAACTGAATATTAGCTGACTCTAGGATTGAGGGTTGCATAATTCAGCATATACTTTAATCGACTTGTAATATTTTGCACTGAATATTTTGTAAGTAGTTTTGATGAGCAACTCGTTTCCGCATATCTGTTTTGCGAACTTTGTTCAAGTTCAACTGTTTTACAATTTCATATTTTAACTTTTAAGCGCATTCCCTAGATAAATCGGTACGCCCCTCCAAAAGGGATATGGTATAGTTTATTGATCAGATTGTGTTACATGAATTCATTTCCATATCTAACCTAATACTAAGTTTCATGATCGTAATCAGACATGAGAAATTATATGCCAACAGGTTAATTATTACCTCTTAGTACAACTACAATTTCCCAAATTCTAAATCCTTATAATGAAAGCAATTTGATTTGAAAACGATAAGTTCATAATTTATTCATTTTTCTTGTAGTTATTTCCCTCCGTATACGTTGTAGGGCAAGAGTAACAAACATTGAGAGATGAAGTAAATTCATTTCGTATACCATATTTATTGCCAATAAGTACTAATTCGTATGAATAAATGATATGTTTTGCAAATGCAGTTTTGTGATCAAAATCCAAAACGTCATTTAGTTCATTAGTGAAAAATAATTATAATTACTTTCCATATTCATACAAGTCGAATTTATAGACGAATAGAATAAGCGAGAGAAAGACCATGATGTATCCAATACAAGAAAGGTTTCCCAATTGTTATGATTATCGTAGGCAAAATGACACGACTGACAGTAATTAACAAAAAACAATGATAGAGTTATCATAACAATTGTGAAAATAGTAAGAACAGTTGAAGGCTGTATGAAAAAAAGCAATTACTAAGATGGCAAAAATTATAAAAAGGCAAGGTTTAACAGTAGACGGATACACGAATTGGTTTTTTCACCTCTGATAATTTTATTTTTGGTATGATTTCAATTTACAGAATATATAATGTGAGAAATTTTAGGAGTAGGGAGTGTCATGACTACAAAAAGTACACAGCATCTTTTACATCTCTAATTATCAGATATTCCTCTTTCCTGAATCTATCAAGTCAAAAAATCTTCCAACGATACGAACTGACTTCACCTGGGAATGTTTCCAGAATGTTTAGAATAGCTAAAACATTTTGAACACGTGGTTAAAAGTTTATTTGTGATTATAAATCATGATAGTGAAAAGCATTCAATTTATCTGAAAAGGTCTAATTTAAGTAAATTCAGCCTGTGTTTAGAAAATAAAACTTAAAGCCAAACTTTAAAACAATTAATGGCCTTTTTAAAGATTATGAAATTTTATAAATCAACGAACAAACAATTAGTGAGGAACCTGAGACGTCACTTTTACTGCCTTATGTGTTTGTGTCGCCTTAATTGATATGCAGTTGAGCAAAAAATAATATCACGATCTGTTGTGATATTATAGACATTTGAATAATGTAAATGCTCATTATTAGGCGTATTATTAAGGGGGAAAATGGACATATTAGACATACGCTAATAGTTGCATTTAATATGTCAGTTTGTATGGCTAACACTTCTACTTAAAAGTGATTAACTAAAAGACACTCCTTTAAGATTAACTATTCCAGATAGTTACGTCATAATATTTACAAGATGCATAAGATTATATCGTAATTTTTTTAATTTTTCAAGAAAAAGTAAGTACTTTGAAGATAATCATTGTTGACAAGCACTAATTACGTTTTAAAAAAAACATTCAACCACTAATTGGTGTTTAGGTTAATTCACTACCTGTAAGTGCCTATTAAGAAATAAGTGTCGCTTCATGTACTATAAATGAACTTTTTTTCGAATTTTATTTGACATTTCCAGTGAAATAATTATCATTCGGATAAACCACTCTTAAATTATTGTCAAGCTGACGTTATTTTGTGATAATAATTGCCTTAAAGTCACAAATAATTGATTAATAAATAACTTAGGTGTAAAAATAACATGTGATCATGAATTAATTTCCCATTGTTAGTGCACAATAAACACATTACTTTAAAAATGAACTTTGTTCCATGATAAATCAACAACAAAGATTTTTTTTATAGCAACACGTTACTTTATATCCTCTAAATATATAGTCTATCAACAATTATTGTGTTATTTAAACGACCGTCTAGTGCTTCCAGGTCTTCCATGGTGGTCTAGCTTCAATTCACTCATGATCTCAACTACTGAAATTATTAAAATCTGTTAAATTTCAGATAGCCCTCATAAGTAGTGTTCAAAACTACATTTGAAGAATTATGTAAGATTTGATGCTGAAACTAAAACTAACCACCTTCGGGTGCTTTCAAATACAAGTACAGAATTTGACAAATCATCGCGACGAATACTTAGTGGTTCAAATTCCCGACAATTCTGAATTGACTTGAAGAACCACCTCTACCAAATTACATAACCAGTTTTACTTCCAGTAAAATTTGGCTCAACTTTTAAAAGCAAGTAAAGAATAATAGGAAAAACGTTCAAAAGCAACATATAGCAATAAATACATTCGTGGATGAGGATCTTTTTTAGATTGAAGTTTATTTAGGTCGTCTAAACTAATGTTAGTTTTTATCATGAACTGACGCCAGCTGGGTGATAATGGTAAATAGACGCAATGTGAGACAAAACAGCTATTTAATACATCTTGATTTAAAATGGTTTTTTTTCTCCTAGTCTCAATACGCTATGAAAGATAACTTAAAATTAATACCTAGGTTTAAGTCTCCTGAAACTTGTAGCTCCTTTAATACTGGACAAAGTTTATCTCGGAGATATTTTAAATATATATAATGGGTAATATGACTGTACTGCCTGTAAAACTCCCACATATTATGTTGGTCACATGGTTTGACCTTATATTCAATGGCAAATCAACGCAAAATTTAGTATTTTTACGTTATCAAGGTTAGAGCAATATCTATGCTCAATAAACAGCTTAGTTTATGCTATCAAGTTGAACCACTCAAACGTAACAAACAGTTGTGTTTCTATTTACATATCTCACTAAGTAAATTCCTAATTGCCAGATAAATTCGTGGTGATTGGTTTCGCATGCCATCCTGAAAATAAATCATATATACGGTAAACGGCATTTATTCTAGTCACACATCCACATTTTGTAAGATATACGATGCATACGACCTGACAAGAAACAATCTAATCATAATCATCCATTGATTTACCCTACTAATCAGTTAGGCGTGCCCCTACAAGGAGAAGAGGTCATCCGGTTTTTTATAATAAGGCGATGAATTCAGGAAATAGTTAGATGCGATTCAAATATATATCTTTTAATTTACGGTAATTGATAGTTATAATTCATTCCTTTTTGTTCCATGAACACACTAAATTTACTTACTGCAATGTGGAAATACATGTCAGAAACTTTATACTCATAGGACCATATACCAAGGAAATTCATTTCCAGCCACACAGCGCCATATGCCATCAAATCGATTGGGAGTTAGAAAGTTCTGACATATATTTCTGTGTCTGTCCTTGAGACGTCTGGGCTCAAAAAAAACAAAAGACCAGTTGTTACATTGTTCTAGATGGGCTGAGGTTTAGTATATTGAGTTTAACAGTCAACAACATGAAACTCATTTGTTAGAAATCCTCAACAAAGAGCATCGAAACATCCCACTTACTATGCAACATGAAAAGATTGATAAGATCCACTTAGGACTGAAAGTAGGTGGTAAAATAAAACGACCGGTTTATTAAAAGAATTAATGAAGTGACTTATACCTGAACTTTAGTAGTCATTGCCCAGCCAATTCCAAGAAGACGTTGATAAAAGCACTGTTTTACAGAGTAGAAAGAATATATAACCATCAAATTCAGAGGAGGATCGATACGTGTTGGACGTTACTAAGATATATATGGTTTTTATGAAAGTTTGTCCATAAATACAGAGAAACTATAGACAAAAGTCTAAATACACTACATTCAGTAAAAATTTCATCGTTATCCACACTGACCTTGAAGATGATAACATTGCAAGAACAATCAATAAAGCGCCTGACAGTGCACTAAATGGAACCTACCATAAAGCTGCATTTTCCATTCTGTGTAGAACACACACTTACAAGCTCAGTCGAATCTGGTAAGTCCGCTTTTATGTTGCTATTAAATGCATGCATACACTGATTTCAACCCGTTAAAAGAGTAATATAAGAAAAACAGAAACAAAAAAGTGGTTTGTGCTTCCTGAATATTTCCCAAAACGTTTTCGCTAACAAAGTAAGGATGCTTGATGGTAACACATTTATTTATCTCATAGACAAGCTGTTGCTATTATACGTCCCAAACCTGACTCACATTTTCAAAAACAATCAATCATCAATCTTGTTTGTTTATGAAAATAACTGAGAGTGGCTGAAAAAATAACTAAGCAAGGGCGGCAAATAAACTTTTAAGTTGAAAGTCATGCCTAGTTTTCTTAGATTATATTATGAAATTTATCACGGCATATGCTAATCCAATCATTTGTTGATGAAAATATCCCTTAATACTAGTCCATCTACTAACTCCCATATCTCTATTACTTTGTTAGTCATTCCCGACAGAATTTAGAGACGACTTTCGGTTGGTAATATCACAATCCAACACACTGTTGCTTGATCGGTACAGGTTTTATTATTATTGTTAGACATATATATTGGTATACAGCCCTGATGAAAAACTAATCATTATTACCCACGTAACTTAGCTTTTATTTAAATACACCATATTATTCGATGCCTTCTTCAATATGGCTAGTGTGACATACCAATTTTTATCCTTTTTAAAATTATTAGTTTTATTTTGGATCGACCAACAAGAGCAAAACACTAAAACTGCGGCAAATTTTACCCTTTGATTACTACAGTAGTTTCACTGAAAGCTACATTCATCATTTAAATTAAGTGAGAAAAGAGCTACACCAAAGTTCAGAATTCATCTCTCCTATCGCGATTTTTCGTAGTAGCCGCTCAAGCCAACCATTGTATGGTCTTTGAAGAACGATAAACATACTAACAGGCTTTGCAAATCCACTATGCCACACACTTTAGCAACAGGGTTCAACTTAGTGCGCACAAAATGTTCATTTATATTGCAATAAATACTACATGGACAACATACTCTAATCTGTTCTGTATTTACACACAGCTAAGTACTCAACTTGTGTGTATGTTAGCAAACAAGCACTTTATTAAAAAAGGTTTTCGATAGTTTCTGATTAAAGATTAATTTTTGGTGGAAAATTTTAAATGTTTAATATCAATCAGTACTTTACACACAATATGTTTCATTGTGATTGAAGAGCAGTTCAAATACAATAAATAATTTTAATAGATAGTTGATCAGCGTCTTTTAACAACTATCATGAAGATTCTGAATTAGGCAAAAGTGCACTCTATGGTATTTTTTTAAATAAATGACCTTACGCTAATATGAGGTGCAGAATATGTATTATTTGATAAACACATCAATAACTCCGAGATAATATAAAATCGAAGTGTCAAATTATGACAAAAATAGTCTTAAGCATCAAAAATTCCAAACGCCGACCGAAATTTGTCAACAAAACGTGAAAAAGAAGGAAGACAGAACCAACTGCTCATAAAATGATTACAAATCTCAACTTATTACTGGAAAACGTTATTACTGAGCTACGTATATCGTTAAAATTACCCGAAATTTTTACTTTGGGATTGCGTTACACCTAGATTTGCTCTTATTATTAAAAATAATCATTAAACTAAATGCAAAAAGAACCAATTTTTATGTTCTAGATCATAACAGACCAGCACGATAAACTCGGTGACGCAAAAAGATGTATTTAAAAAGGTAGCACTAGATTATATAGATTTTTGGCCTAAAAACCTTTAAAGCGCCTGATAGAAGTATTCAGATTGGACACTGGTGATAACTTTACGACGGAGACAATAAATAATTTTCCTGTATCTAAACCATCGTAAAATACTATTTACCTATCACGTTGTTTCTTTGGTTTCAGTATATAAAAAGATTATGAAAAAAACCTCGTATGAAGCTAAAGGGTCAAACAAACACGATGGTTTACCTTTGGATATTAATTGAAATCTTATAAAATTTGCCTGAACGTCCTGAACAAACCTTTGTCAGTAGATCTTGACATAGGGTTGATAACGTGTGTAATGTTTAGGATAAGTCTAAATAAACATCAAATATAGAGGGTCGACCATTTTGGCAGGTGGAAAAACACTATAGCAACTCAGACAAATATATTGTTTATCATTTAATTAAAACATATAGTCAAACGGGAAAAACAGTTTAGGCTTTATAGTTTATTTATCAGATATATTTACAAACAGCTACCAGTTTTAATTTTAAAACACGAGCATTTTTGAAATAAATCGCCATTTTGATGACTTATAGCTAAAAATTTGATCTTATAGTGAGCGATATTGACAAAAAAGCTTAGATTTCCGCAGTCTAGTCACATACATAGTTTGATCTTATTTGTTTCGCTAACAGTCGTAAACCTAGGATAAAAATTTCCGAATATGGCTGTGTCTTAGCTGTGTGTAGACAAATACGTTGTTTTTAGTCATTGATAAATTCTCCTTACTCTACAAATGCACTACTAGACACAATTCAAACCTTTAGAACAACACTTAGAGGAACCATTAAAAACTGTTTTACTTTTTACTCGTATCTTGTTTCTGCTTACAAGACCAGTGAACTTAATTGTCTGATTTGAAAATTATGTCCATTCGTGCGCGTCCCAGGTTATGTTTACTCAGTTAATATAGTCTCTTCAGTGATTGAAAAATAAAAATGTTTGGACCAGATGTATAACCTAGAGGATAAATATTTTCCCCAAATATTTTAGTAGTGAAAATGCATGTAACCATGCCAATGAAACACTTCAAAAACGGCTTCATCATTCGCTATTAATTTGAATAAATATGTCATATAATTGTTTCTGTGACCATCATTTTATCGAACGGTTGTTCGTATGTAGCTTCAGCAGTATGAGTTTTAAATATTATATGAGGAACAAAAATCAGGTCACCAGTGATGAAGACAAAATTGTTGGAGGACTGTGTTTGCACTGGCTATTTTTTCAACTGGAAACTGAGAACGTGAATCAAGCAACCAGTTGTATATAAAAATGGCTATGTGGCTCTTCAGAACGAAAATATACAACTTTGTTAACCCGTTTCTGCCAAAATGATAGATTTTTAATCAATGACAAATCTAATGTCTACAAACCGTCCCACAAAGACTTGACAGAATCAAAATCCAGGCAACTTAGTAAACACTTCACGAAGATAGTGAAATTTCGGAAAATTGGCTATCACCAAATTCTCAAACATGCAAAGATGGACCATACAATATCATTCACACATTATAAGTGAATGATAGATGCTCTTATAAATTCCTTACCTTGGTATTTATTTTACGGAGCTTATTCACATTTGTTCTCAAAACACGATAGACGCGTTGTTTATATTTCAACTAAAAAATAAGTAACACCGAAAATACAAAATTACCTCTAAGTGACCAACCGAACCCTCGAAGGGATAGTCTAGTAACATTCTGTCTTCTTGCAAGAATTTTCCAGCTTTTCCTTTTGACGGAGGAAGAAACAGACCATAGTTCAACTCATCCTTCAAGCAAGAACTCGATCTTTTTATAGCTGTGAGTTTGACATCCACGATTAAATCTGTTGGGCTGAAACTAAATGTCTTCAGAAGGTTATCACACAAGTATTGTATTACTTCACTGGTCTCGTCTGGCATAGTGACTCTAATGAAAACAAGACCTTGAGTAGGTGAATCATTTTGACTCCCATTCATGCTTATAGATAGTCCTGAGTCGCTATCACACATAATTAGTCAAAGTTGTCTCTTCGTTTACAATGATAAGAAGAACCATCATCTCTGTGACATTGCGTTAACATATTGTCTCTTTAAAATATTGTGTAGGACGACACATAACCTTCAGGGTAGTTGAAGAATAAAACAAAATTAAGGACTTATTGGTAAATATTAATAACTATTCAGTATGTGTGTTAGTTCCCTGTCTTATCAAAGTGATAATATCTTACCTTTAGTTAGTGAAACTAGTTATTGCTGTCATCGGCAGGTAGCTTAGTTTTCTACTCAGGTTTTGTATTAATAAACTTAACAAGAAAAGTACAACATTAGACGAATAGTAATTCTCTTGGGGAGATTACTCTTGCTTTTCTTTATGAGCTTACTAATTACCAAAATCTATTCGCCAGGCTCTAGTACAGTAGAAAATGTTTCCAAATTTGATAAGGGATGTTTAATGGGGGCATATATTTAGACGTCAGTTAGATCGGGCGATGTTGTCAACAGGCTCCCTAATTTTGTGTACCTATATCTGACTCCGATTTGATCGTTTTTGGCTGCTACAATCCTCGTATATAATTATGGACTAAGATCGTGCTAGTAAAAAACTGAATTAAATAAATATATTATGTACACTCACTGATCTGGGCAGACAATCTGAGCAATGGAGCAAAGGTAGCGAAGAGAAGAGAGCGAGGCAAAATGACATGCAGTGGAGAAGGCCTGTGAGCTAACTCGATTTGATCAAACATTAATTGATATTTATAACCAGATGAAAAATAAACTACTGAAATATGATGAGTAGGATGAGAAGTGAAGCATATACGCTCATATTTAAACAGTCAAGGTTGATAAACCAGTAATTACAAAGGCTAAAATATGATTCAAGTAGAATGAATAGATTGGCCTGTTCATAAGCTGGAATGATTTATATGAGCCTAACAACGTAACCGACACTACGCACGTGCTGAAATAGCCTCAGAAATGCTTGTTAACAGGTAACGGTGATAGTGACGTGAATATTTTGATTAAATGCCCATCTACTGAGACAAAATTTAACAGTTGATTGATACAACGTATTATAGACTGTCTAGAAGCATTGCTAGCTACGGATGCTAATTATGTATAATCACGACTATTTACTCAACTCCTGGTCCATTTTTCCGTGCCTATTTCTGTATTGCTTATCATCACGATGGAACATTCAGCATACAAATATGAAATGCTTTCCTTTGTTTTATGCCATTATTCAAACATTCGTATGCACCATAACTAAAATCGCTTAGTTTAAATTCTGTAAAGGCTTTTTCACAAGAAGTTTAGCATAACTATCATATGGGGACTTCCGAAAGAAAGTCAAAAGATATTTTTATATGTATTTGAAGTATTATTTCGCATCAAAAATAGCTATACTTCACTTGTATAACTGTTCAACTTCCAGTAATCGTCCTGACGAAACAGAGAAAGAGCACTGATATTATCCTATTGTAATTGCACGCCTAACTCTTGAATTACACTTTTCAGATTTAACGTAATCAGAGATGTTATGATTCAACTTATCATCTACACTGATGTATTATTATTCTCTATTTTTTACAAGAAGTTCATGGCAGTCATGATTTGTTGATCATAGTAGATCCTTCTTCAGAGTGACCGTTGGTAAATCACATATAAACGTTTAATTTTAACCATCAACTGACATGCCTCATGTAACTTACTGTTATTAACGACGATGAAAAAGACAGCCGAATCGGTGTCTATTAAATTTTTGTTTAATTGATAGTTGTGGTTGTCTAATTTGAGTGTTATAAACGATTTATCATATAGGCACAAGGTCCTCGATCTTACAATGTTGCAAGTTGTTCACATGATGTATAAAGACCCTTCGTCCCAGTATGGGACTACTCGAAAGTGCGCAACCATAATCCCCGCTCTGAACTCAAACCCAGGACCCTCAATCTTGCATAGACGCTTCACTTTAGGCTGTAACAACTTAGGTTGATTGGTTAAGAGTTGGCTGCAAACGTCTTATTAATGACATAAGTGAAAAAGGCAAAAAGAACAGCAAGACTTGCGACCTTAAGAATCACTCATGTGGCCGTAATTCAGGTAGAGTAATTTTAAAAGAAAATCCGGCTATAGTTTAGTAACACATACAAATTATAGGAAACACAGTTGCAATAATGACTTAGTGTCAAATCTAGGCAAAAGTTGAAACCATGTACCTAGAAATACACATATTTTGGCTGTATGTCGGCCTAAACAGTATTTTTGGATTGTTTCAACCGAGGTATTTAAGAGATTTTGCTCGCCTTAAAAATTAGGACAATGACTCACTTGAAATAATTAAGAAATAATAATTAGGGTGTGATAACAACAGAAAAGCCATTAAACTACGCTATCGAATTAAACAAGGTTAATTCTTGCATTTTTATGACATTATAGGTTTGTTTATTAGTTGATTTAGTACAGATCCGAGAGGATTTATATGAAATACAGGAAATTACTACAATCCACAATATCCACATTTTTTATCGCAATAAAAAAAACCAGGTGAACAACGTCGAGTTATAAAGCAACAAGAGATGAGGGCAAATAGCTAATGGTAGCGTCAGAATTATTGAAGGAAACTTGAATTTGATTTCTTTATTTCTAATAACTTGTTAGGCTCTTGACATAATTGTTAATATTTTAAAAGTAGATGTATGCTGACTTCGTACAGAATTCGATTGCCGGTGATGTTTTATCAAGCAAAATCGATAGGAGAAAATGTACATGGTACCAACGTATCCATGGAACACATGAGATTATTAATGATAGAACTAGTTGCACGAATCTGAGCTAATGGCCAAAATACCATTGAGTATCTTATATTTTGACAAACGGAAGATAAAGAAAGAAAGGTGATTGTGCTTGCTTGGAAAACTTTGTCTGATTCACATACAGAAGCAGTGGAATTTTAAACCTCAGTACTAAATAGTTGAAGATGTAGAAGAAATCTATGATAAACTGAAACTTGATGTAATGTAAGCCTTCAATTAAGAGCCTTCACGCGCTTGGTGTCCAGTAAAACTAATATGGACAGCGTGAACAAGGAACGTTTTGGGATACTTATTAACACAGAAGCTGGCTGGATTTTGGAAAATAAGTCAATAAAATTATAAAACAATTGGCGAAGAAATTCCAGAGTCCATCTAGAATGCGACAGAGATGAATAAGAACAGCAAGCTGCATATTTCTTATTTGCCGTTACTCATGTGGGATATGCTAGAAATCTATTTGGTGATTTGGCTTGTAATACCTTAATGCTAAAGTTAATCTCACTATTAGACCAAGTCGAATAGTATAGATGCCTAACTAGCATATTGTCATACTATCCAATAATCAACATTATGCATTATGACACAAGACATACGCAATAGCTGGAGTTCTCCATGAAATAAATACTTCACTCTATCTATCGCCAGAACGTGGGATAAATTAAAAGTAGGCACAAGCAATCGATCAAAAATCAAGGTGCAACAATAACCATAGAAGTTAAGGATTTATTTAAAACATGTATTCAATGTCGAACAGGCTGTTTAAAAAATACAGTAAGACTAAGAAAAGTAATAATTTTATATGGCTGTGATGATTTTAGTCGTGTTGCAATGATCTTATGGAACAATCTTTTCTGATCCCGATAAAAGTATTGAAATTATATACCAGCAGATAACATCTGTAACTAAACTACTAGTAGTCTAAAATAGATAGTACTTCCACGTTGTTGAAAACGTGTTGTTTACGTATGGTGATTTTCATCTCGATCTGTTTCAGGAAGTTAACTGGCAAGTCAAAGGCCCTACATTACATATGGTTGCTGTCGAGTGACCTTGATGATGATTTAAGAAGACAATCTAGTATAGTATTGACTTAAGTAAGAGGGTGTTGATCTGAGATTTGAAAGACAACTCTTAACTTCAAGGCGAGATCCAGATTTAGCGTCCATGTAAGTCAAAGAACTGTTTAGTTGATTAGCATTTTGCTCTAATTCAGACATGTACCAGTACAACTTTGTGCCACGTGGTCCTAGTGAAAAAATAAAGTGGACTGCAAACTTGACTTATTGTGATATACAGAAGTAATTAAATTCAGTATGACAAATAGTAATTCCTATAACGGTCAAATTAGTACTCTAATAGTCACGTGTAAGTCACTGTCAAAGTCAGAGAGAATGCCGATAATAAAATCAAGGTGACGTTTTTGTAGTTCGAACTAGGCGCAAAATAATGTACTAAAGAATTTTTAATTAGCATAATTACAAATATTATCAAAATCGAAGGTTAATCTTATTTTAAAGACATGTCAACCAGAAAATCATACCGAAAGTGAAGATTATATTATGTGCATAAAATGGAAGTCCTTTGATTTCTAAATAGACAACAGGATCCTCATCAATCTTAAGTGATGTGATAGTTTCTCATCCTTACGTGGTTAATGAAACGTTGAGTCTGTAGTTGAGAATGCATTGCTTCCCAAAAGTACTTGTTCTGTGTGGTTGTTTATTATTGCGGCTATATTTTAGAATGATGAGTGGCGTACAGTCTACACTTTCGAGTGGCTAGATTTTTTGCTTTTCTACGACTAAGTAAGCAATATCAGGATTATTCATGATGTATGGTATATGTCTACTCTTCAAACTAGAATAAGTATAACACTAAAGCAAAGAAACGTCTAGTCACGACAGTTCAAAACGGCAACAAACTTACGGCTTACACTTTGATTAAGTCTAATGACACGACGTCCTCTTCATTATAAGTATGTTGTACTGATCAAAAACTTACTTTGACACGTGAGCCTGATATCATGTAGGAGAAATCTTTTTAAAAGGTGATTCAAAGTAGAACTAACAAAAAGTTATTTGGATTCAGGAGAAAACCATTTCCATTTTGTCCACAACTGTCGCAGCTGCGATCTGTGCACCATAGAAGAACAAATTATGTTGAATCATTATGTCAGGATGTTGCCGTTTAGTAGTTGGACACAAAAGAACCCATATGAGAAGTGTATTTTAGCGTTTCTGTGTTGAGAATCCAGATCTGACACCTCAAGCTGACTCGTCCCAAACTATGCTTTTGATATATCAACTCAGTAGTACCCAGTAAAGGTGGTAGAGGTTCCTACTCAAGCCGAATCGGAATTGCTTTTAATCCTTGAGACTTCTGAAAGTTGGGCACAAAGTTCACGCTTTTCCATATATACAAATCATTATTTTAATTCAAAATAACTCAAGTTTAAAAATGAGATGCCGTTGAAATCTGCAGATCTTAAATTAATTTTACTAACAATTAAAATTTAACGAGGCATTGGACTGCTGGAGTTGATGTGTTGGTGTTTATTCGTTTCAGTAATATATGTGGAAATTCAATTACGTTGCTAATGTAAATTGTTGAGAATCATGTTGGAATTCTCGTGGGATAAAATAGCGAAGTTAAATGAAGCTGACATAGATATAGACAATGCAAACTATTACTGCCAATTGTTTTTAGATGTATGCGCAGATTCTCCACATTATTTGATTATTTCAGGCTAATGTTGAGGACTGGGATGATAGTGATCGACTTAAGCATGTTTTTCAAATTACTCAGACGTTGCTTAACCTAAAATGGGAACAATGGAAGTTATCAGAGACAAGCTTGTCGGACAAAACCTCAGAAATAAATAATCTGAAAGATCAAATAAGGGAACTAGAACAAGAAAACAAAGATTTGCAAAAAGCAATTTCTGCTTCTGGTCTTGATAGAGGAAGCATTGGTGAGACGAGGAGACTTGAGTTTAAAGTCGTCAAACTGCAATCTGAACTAGAATCCCTAAGGATAGCCAAAGATTCCTCTTTTAAAGAAAAAGAAGAACTTTTGAATGAAAAAGGTGATCTGGAAAGAAAAGTGGAACTGGTTTCAAAAGAAAATAAGGAACTTCAGGAGCGTTGTGAGTACTTGCACCTGCAACTTCAGGATCGACCCAGCTTTTTCGGTAAAAGTAATGATGAGGCTAATTACAGAAAAGAAATTTCCTCCTTACGTGCAAAAATAAGGGTACAGAAAGCTGAAATAGATGTAAGGATCATAGTTATTTAACTATTTGGTCAGGGATTAGAAGATGAAAAACAGAATTTATGGAGTGATGTCAATCGTTTGGAGAGCAACCTTCGGCAAGCCAGCATGGAAATCGATCGCGCCACCGATGACTATGTGAAAATGAAAGAAGCCTTAACAGAAGCTGATAAAAGTCACGCAGAAAAGTCGGCTGAATGCAGTATGTTGCGCGCTCAGTTAGCCAATCTTTCCGAAAAGATTGGTCATCCTGAAGAAACAAATAACCTTATCATGAGTGCTGTTGAACAGAAGATTGAGGAATGGAAAGAGGTACTGAAATTCATTTCTCAGTAATTTTTAGATACTGGCAGACAAAGACATGGAAATAGTTAAGCTTAATGAACGAATAATAGAGTTTTCTCAGGAATTGCGAGATCTTAAAGCTGACTCCGATAAAACCAGTGCACAAGCCCTGATGAAGTCCATAAAAGATCGTGATGTTCAGGTAACTAAACTGATTACTATAGTTTTTGATCACATTTATGAGTATTTTCACTCTATTTATGACTAAAATCTGGTACATATTTGTACGTTTTAACTTCTCAGGGTAAATAGCTATGATAGTTTATGCCTTACATTCTCCTAACTCATCTGCTTCTTGTTCAGGTGATGAAAGTCGATGAGTACAAACCATTACACAACCTAGGATTCGTTTTGTACAATAAAGCGTTAGTCGTGTGTATTTGTTTAAAACAAAAGCTTTTAAAATACTGTACACGAATAGATCGATTGCACAAAATTAATTACTGAGAAGGGTACATTACAGTTCCGAACGAGATAATGGGTTGCAGTAGGGACATGAGTGGAAAGCAAAGTGAATAGGCCTATTAAAAGCAAAAATTGTAAGAAGCACAATGTGCAAACGAAAATGTAAAAGGTTTGAATCGTTGGGTTTCTTTAACTTGAAGAAGTTTTGTTTATTGAAGTTCTTAAGGCTAAAACTGGGCAGTAAACGTCCGCTGTATAATCCACTGACGTATTTTGGTACGTCTGAATGTCTTTAATTAAACTTACATAGTATTTTGACCAATAATTGGTGTTGCTGAGCAAAATGGTCCAGGATCGTCTCTAGTAAAGCAGTTGAAACCATCTGTTATAATCTCCCAAAGTTTGGGTAAAAGTGCCATTTCTATTCCTTGATTTAATCGTTTTATCTTTATTAAACTGTATTTTAAATTTTTAGATACCCGTTGACATCGTTTATCCTCTTTGACTTCCTGCCCTGTAACTTTTCGTTCTTGCTGTTCTAATATGAGGTGTTGCATTTTAAACTAAAACTCATTTGTCCCAGGCCCTGCATTGATATGGACTGGTTGGTTTATTTTGGAGAGTTCTCGGCATGTATATGGGCATCTAGTGAATAGGTAAATGCTCAAAAATCCGAACAAACATGCTTAGAGAACAATGAATAGTGGCAACAGCTCAGTTTTTGACCAATCAAAGGCGTACAGAATGATCGTGTGCAGTGGTAAGATGTGGAAGCAAAGGAGCTAGAAAGGATGGCAGCGATGGGTAACACTAGATAATTATTTCGACTCATCAGGGAAACGGGTGCTAAAAATTCATCTGTTAGCCACATTAATTCCCTGTTAGTCCGGGATATAATATTGATGATTAGAAAACTTAAAAGAGTGGTTCAAATGGCATCTGAATACCCTCCAGTTAGCCACTATCTCTTACGAATGTAAATGGAAGATCAACATTAGTTTTCCAACTCTCAGCTAGGTTGTAAAGATTGTATCTAATTTAAAAAAATCGAGAGCAATAGAACTTGATAAGTTAATTTAAATCTTTATGTATAGTGGTTATTTTTTTAGTTAAGTAAACTACGATACTAGTTCGAGAACTGGGAGTGGTCTAATCTAACTGGTATTGATCGTTGAGCACCCTAGTTTATACGAAATAACTCTAATCACGTTAGGGTATGAGATAAAAAAGTGACGAGGAAATTCGGAAATTAGTCATTTATACAGACTACGTTCATGACGCTACTGAATACACAATAAATTTCTCAGATAGACAATTGAAAATCGAGATTGATGTTTTTTAAACTTTTTTTCACATCAAATATTTTGTTTTTCTACTGTTTGTATGAAAAATCTACTGTAACTTTAATGTACTCTTACAAAGCCATCGTAAAGTCATCAAAAAGTACACGACACCTTAAACCTGTGTCCATAGGCTACGGATATCTGTAAATCCAATCTTTGTAGTCCATATGTGGCAATTTACTGAAATGTATCCAAATGTTGAATTTCACTGTAAATAAGGAAATATTCAATTGCTAATTTAAACCGATTCCATGAATATCGGTCTGTGAGACGTTAGTGTGTCATTTATCCTCATAAAACATATCTAGCTAATTATTCAAGCCAAATATTATTTATAATCTTATGTCATGTAACATTTGTGTTATTGGTTTCAAATAGATACACTCCCTAAAAAAACAACTTACGGATGCTACAAATGAAGTTGAGAAAAGCACAACTCTTTTAAACGAACTCGCGAAGCAAGCAAATGAGAATGAATTTGATCCTAGTAGTCGCAAAGCTGAACGTATTGTTGTCCTTAGAAAACAACTTCAAGAAAAAGAAAACCTTAACGCCGAACTGGAGAAAAGGTTGGAGCTTGTAGGTTATGAAGATATTTTTTGAAAACCTAACTGTATACACCTTCATGCTTTCATTTGTTGTCTTGAGAATATACCGGGTTGTTTTTTAATATAAGAAATTTTATTTTATTTGACGAAGAAATTCTACACTAACCATATATATGTCTATTACAAAAAAGATGACCCCATGATGTCTTTTCTCAATAAACCTTGTAAGTCGCTAACATTATCATAAGAGCTTAAAGTTTTACTTTATCTGAATAAATTTGGTTGTTATTATGATTAAAGCAGACAAAAAGCATAAACTCGCTAGCGCCATTTGTTTTAGCCCTAAATGTTTTGAACACTGCATTGCTTTGAGAACAACTTAGCCTAGATTCTCTCAACACTTAGTTTTTAATTGTGCTTGCTTGTTTTAGATTAGTCGAATCTGTGGTAGATGTGGTAAATCCTCATGTGCGGCACATTTAGGTTGGCAAGTTCATTGGGAGTTCTGCTGCTCTTGTCGAATAATTTAAGATGAATACCTACGTTTCTCATCTGTGAATACTTCTTTTAGCATTACATATGCATCGATTAAGACACATTTATGTCATAAATCTAAGATATCTTTTGACTAAGTTGGATAGTAGTTGTTTTTAGTTTATTGTCAATGAAGGTTGTGAGACTGACAAATTACGCTTATTATTATACCCGCGACACTAAGTATCAGATACAACTTCTATCTGGCAAAACAAACAGAAGAGATGTGGATCCTTCTAGCATGGAATTTCCTGCCAAGAGTTTGAGACTGTTACACAGAATATATTTCCCTATAAGTCTGTCTGTTTTGAATTCAACTTAGAAGCATAGTTAGCTAACTAAAGTGCTGGATAAAAATGTTTTTATTGTGGTAAATCATATTTGGAAAGCACTTCGAGGATTTTCACATCACATAAAATTCATTTTAGGGCTTTCGCTAAATGGTCACGAGATTAAATTGCCAAAAGATGTAAGTGGCTGCATTTTTTTCATGTAGAATTTATTTGAGGTGTGTTAGCACTCATGTTATAACTTGTAACCGCCAATTAGAGGACAGTGAATTATCAATCGGACCAAGGAGGCGCAAAACACGTGCGAGCAGTCTAGAGTCTTGATTGGTCCTGCTTCCCACCTAGCCCACCCAGTTAAGTCCAGAATACCAATCTCAGCCTCTGCGATATGAATCCTGTGTTTTAAACATACTCTGTTTATATACCAATCAAGCAGACCACATCGTACCATAAAATAGAAAATAACATTTGTACAAGATTTAGCCAGATGTGGCTGTGAATGAGGGAGGTAGTAATTAATATACTGGGTATAACTCAAGAATGGTAAAATGTATAATAATAGTTTATGGGTCAAAATAAAGCTTATAATAAGAGGAATATGAATATGCATGGTTTAGTTACTCAATAATTATACAATAGAAATATACGTTGATTATTGGTCCATCGATAGATCCCAAAAGTTACCATTTATTATTCTTGTCGGGACATAACAACTTATATATATTAAAACACTGCCAACTATACAGATAGTGATTTTCATGTATTTTTTCCTGATATTCCTCAAGTATGTCCCTTTATTTTCTGCAAGAAATTACAGTGAACCCAATATTATATGACAGAGCAGACAGTTAGTTCCGATACAGTTAGTAAACTGCCTTCAAATGTTGTTTCAGCTTGTCCCAATCATTCAGAACTTAATCAGTCGATTTATTCTTCATGTACTCAGGCTGAAGAAGCTGCTCAGTCTCAAGCCAACGAGGTAACTATTTTAGAAAAGCAACTAAAACGTTATGAAGAAGGAGAGTATGGTTTATCAGAAGCTATTGCTGAATTAAAAGCTACTAGATTACAATTAAACTCAAAAGAAAGACAATTGGAAGAGGTTTGTCGTCTAGCAAGTCAAGCTGAATCATCTCTTAATGAAATAAATTTAGAAAATGAACATTTAAGAAGTAAGCTTGGAATACCATTGATTGAAAAAATTGATCTGAATGGCTACCGTCGTCAAAAACGAGCAGAAGTTGAAGAAGATCGTGCAGTAAATATAATACTACAAAAAGAAGTACGTAAACACTTTTTATGCATTTTTTGAAAGTGAAGTAGATTTTTGTGTTCAGTGCCTTGCCTTCACTCTGTAGCTTCATGTGGAAAATTTTATTTTATTTTATCTTCATACAATTAAGCGGTAATCTGACTTCAACAGGTTATAAAGATGTTTAGCATATTGTTCAATAATTTTATGATATTATTCGATACGCATACTAATGATGAAGTTTGTATATGTACACATGTAAACCACGTTTATTGACTAACTTTACTGAGTTCTTGAGATTCACTTTTTAATTATTCCTTCTGCACATTCTGATCTAAGTATATTTAACTTTTGTTTTAGTGCACACATTCTTGCGGGCAAAATGTCTAAAGCTCCTCAGCAGTTTAGTCATTTCACTTCAATATTTGGAGAACCTACAAATTTCATATTAGACTTATCAACCAATTAAATTATATAAGTCATCTTTAGCGACATATAAAAATAAATTAGGGTGACAGAAATCACTGTATGGTACCACAAGAAAGCACACCACTATCAGTTGACAAACAAGAGAATAAAGTCTAGTAAAACTTTGTTTCAGAACCACAGACAAAATCGTCATTATCTTAGTCTAAGTACCATATTCTTACTCTGTTAGAAAAATGAATCCCAAATAAAATAAATATAATCGAAAAGTTGGTTTGATAATAAAATTTCTTATTATTGTCTGATTCACATATTATTAAGCATTCAAAGTTATCGTTCAATGACCGTGTGAGTAAAATCCTGACATAACAGTATATGAAACTAAAAATGTTTGTTATATTTTAGGCATTGGGCATATTGTTATTACCTAATAAAAAATAATGAGAATTAATTTATGATCTATGTGTCTAGAGATAATTTAACATGTCTAAATTGTTGTCAATCTAAATGTGCATAATTAGATCGAAAAACTAGAAGACGAAAGGTTGGAGCTGAAACGTAAACTACGTACACTTGCACGTCAGTTAGGCCAACAATATGGTTCATCAGATTTGCACGTGGATGGAGTACTCTTAGGTAATTTAAACCAAGGTAAGCTCTAAACAACTAGAACTTAGTATCTCTTTCTGATACATTAGCTAACTACTCATTGATCATATATTAGCTATATTCATACTTTGTTTCACGTACATTCATAATAGATTTGCCACAAAGAGAGAAAACTAATCGATAGAACATTTTGAATTTAATTCACTATAATAACCAACACAGTTGTTAAGCACAACATCACAAAACAAATCAAATAATATCATAATCATGAGAAAGCGACTAATTTGACAAAATTCAAGTACTCAGCTGTTCAAAAGAAGATATCCATATCGGATAACAAATAGATAATCATGAATAAAAATAATGTTTACTAAGCAACTAAGGTTCATTTATTTCATTTATATCAGGAAATAAATTAAGACCTCTAAGAGAAGCAAAAGTCGCAACAGTTTAAGATTGCTGTAAATCCCTAAATCTCCTCTAGTTTTCTCTCTTACCTTATTTTCTCTATTTTATGCCCTCAAATCAAGTTTAGCGTAAATGGTCTATGTCGTCTCTTGTCTGCTATCTGATCTTCAAAAGTTAAAAAAATAATCCACAACTTGTCAATAAGGGTATGTCGAGACTGTTGGATTTTATTGAAATTATGAACCAATAAATGTTAGAGCACCATCGAAAACCCGGAAGCACTGGATGATAGAGTGTAGGATTCCTCAACAGTGCGCAACCACAACCGCGCATGTAAGAACTGAACCCACAACCTTTGATCTAGACAAAGTGAATTCGTTAGCCATATTATTGTAGTGGGAATTATTTATGACTACACACTGGGAACGATATTATTTGAGAATGACGATTAATTAAATTTCAGTTCAAAAAAATGTTCAACTGGACAGTGTACCACGTTTTTATATGATCGTATCCAACTTTACTCAGTTACTTTTGAAAGACCGTAGATTAGAATCTACCTAGTATAGTTTTGCTTTTATTAAATAATATAAAGACACTGTTTTTCTTTTTAATTTTCGCCTAAATATCTGAAATCCGAATAACATTTTTGTCTGCAGTTAGTGAGGAAGTTATGTCAACTCAGTCAGTTCGAGTGGTTTCTGCCTCTCGATCTAGTCAGAAAACCAAAAGTTCCCCAACACAAGACGAACTAGCTGACCTTCCAGAAGTATGGAAAGCAAGAGTACGTGTTTCTTTATTTTTAAAGTGTGTCAGATTCTTATTTCCAATGGTACATATGTTGAAAATCTCTCATTATTCAAAGTTGGAATTGTGAAACATTTGATCTAAATATAAAGGCTTTTTGCTTTTCGTAAGACCTAGAATCACTAACTTCTATCTCGTATGAAGTCATAGATATCTACGATCTGTGTATTGTATCTTTATTAGTCAGTAACCTTAGGTAAATTTTGAGTGATGAGTAAACACACCTATAACCCTATCAAGAATTCATGATACGTCAGTCAGTTCGTACACTAACTGACGTGGAATTTATACTCTGAATAGGGATGGTCAGCGGATTAGTATTTTGAAAAAATCAAGGAAAACGACTCACTAATAGAAATATATTGAATGAGCACATAAAGTAGTATTATGAGAGCCAAGAACTAAAAAATATTTCGGATAACTCTATTGTTAGTCATATTGATTAAAGAAATTATAACTATACTCAAAGTATTATAAATTTTTAGATGTTTCTCTAGTAAACACGGAAGATAACAGCTTGTATTTAGGCAAATAATCGCAGCTAAACGGTTTGTCAACACTTCGCTTTTAGTTCACTACCAATAATCTGAATTTCTGTTAGGTTACATTTGTCCTTTGTGGTTCACAAACGCGTCAATTTTGCACTAAAGTTATACAATTTTCACATTGTTTTCTTTCTGATGAAAAAAAATTAGTTCAAAGTACTTGATGAGGAATTAGTTCAAGCACTGAAGCAAATAGAAGAAGAACATAAAAAGCATGATAAACTAGAGACACGTTTGAAGCAAATTACTGAAGCAAATGTTCTGCTAGAAAGTGGTCTGAAGGAAGTTCAAAACCAGATACACTCTTTTCATATTGAATCAAAGAATCAACGTGATCTAAGTGAAGAAAAGAAACAATCAAAATCTAACAATATAACCAAAACAGAAAAAAGAGAAGTGGCCAATAACAAGTTAAAAATGAAGAATGAAATCATTCAACTAGACTGTCCATCTTTAGACAAATTACTAGCTGCATTAGACGCAAGAAACATGGTTGGAGATATTGACTCTGGACAATTTCTAAAGTCCAGAGTAGATCAACTTGAAGTAAGTTAATAGTGAAGTTTATACTCTTTTTACAAATATGCCGTAAAATATCAGTCAAGAGATATTTAATATATAAATATGGTCATCTCAAAGAGAAAAATTAAATTTTCAGAGCTATCCTTTAGAGAAAAGGTGTTTATATTATGGTATAATTATTAAGCACTTGAAATGTTTAATCTTTATATTCTTTTATTTGTAAGCTCTTGTTTGACCCAATAATCGTCGTTGTCATAATGTTGCAGACTTATTATTAATTAGTTTCTTATTGTTCCGTCTTTGTATCATTCATAACTGAGTTGTGTTTACACTGTAGTTTCTTACTGTGTGGTCAGGTAACCGCGGCATATTACTGTATGAGTTTTAAGTTATAAATGAACAGGGCACGATGAGGACTAATCTGCTTGCTATCTTCATTTTTTTGTAAGGAGCTTGTGTGCTGTCAAAATTAGGATCCTTTCGGTCAATATTCATTGGCAAATAAGTCATTGGTTTTAAGAATATCACCAATCCTACAGGGAACATGGGAAGATAAGTCGGTAGCCAGACTTTATAATCCAACTGTTTCCATAATAAACAAGCCTATCACATGGATTTCAGAGTGATTTAAAAATCTATCCATTCTAAGGAAACAGCAATCACAGACCCACCGGAATTTGTTATGATCGATATACCATCTATCTTCTTCAAGTTCTTGATGGAAAAGATTGGACATTGTTTTTATGACCGTTATACCACTTCCTTCTAAGACCCAGATCGTTCTACAAATGCAAATAAAACTATCCTTAGTTTCTTTTTAGTTCCCTGATGTCACTATTGTTAAAATATCTTCTTATTCCTACCATGCTCTTTTCTTATACATAAGTCACGTTTATTGACTAACTTTTCATGCCGATACACCATTTTGACATGTTCTATTCTACATAATTGTCTTTTCACCTGATGATAATTATTATAGACACTTAAACTGATATTACTTATGTATGAATCATTATTTCGTCATAGATATAACTGACACATTTCAATGGTCTACAATACAGTCATTTGATACAGAAATACGAAGAAACTTTTTTTAGGTCAAAATAGCACTCATAATTCCTCAGTATACTACTTCATTCAGATTAAAAACGAAATATTTATGTTGAAACAAATTAAACTATCAATAAATTATTCATCACGTATCTTTTCCCTTAATGAATGTGATTTGGCTTAATTTGGCTAGATAATCACTTTTCACTGATATCTGAACGTTGAAGTAATCGGACTTTTAAACTGAGTACTGGAATAAATGATTATTACTAGATATTTCATAAAACATTCTGTTGTAACGTGTGTGACTACAGGTTTTGATAAGCAGCGTTTTATTGATCGGCTCTGTGACAGTGGACACGTAAACACGTACGGACGACCTAGTGCCCCGATTGGCCCTGCTTCGCTGTCTGTCCTAGCCAGTTGAGTCAAGAACACAAGTAACAGCCTCTGAGTTATGAATCATTATATTTCAAACATACTTTGTTTATATACCAATCAAGCATACCACATCGTACCATAAAAATAGAAAACAACATTTTGTACAATATTCAACAAGTGAACAGATATCGACCAATAGGAAATGTCCATTTAAAGTCCAAGGACACCATTGGACTTAACATCATAATTATTGGTCTATTCCTCCGCATCTACAACACATTCATACAATGGTAAGCAACGTATGGATTTAACAGACAGTACTCTTGGTAGAAACAATGTCAACTTACCATTAAGTACAAAATTGTGACTTCCTCTGTGCTCATAATTACAAAAATAAGAACACACCATTAATCAATAACATCAGCTAATTCTGCCAAACAATACACTCAATATTTATGATCTATTGAGTGAGAACATATAATTTATTGCTGAAGAAAATACAAATAATTAACCGGAGATTACTACTTATACAATCTATCCTTAGAATCAGCGATTCCTAACTGTAAATCAAACTAACCTGGTTACCGAAACAGTGATAAAGTGTAATAGAAAGAAAGCATTTTCAGAGACGCTGAAAGGTCTATTAACTTAATTGTTCAACTATGCAATGTGTAGAACTCAACAGGGTATTATTTTATGATTATAGTCAGCGTCGCTAAAAGATTAACGTCCTATATTTGGGTGACGCTGGTTTGAAGAACTTTTCATACAACTGTAGATACGTCTTGACTACGAGTCCCAACTGGTTTAAAACTTGAATCCAAGGCCACCTGTTAATTTCCTTCATTACTCATAGTCTACTGAAATTTTAAGCTACTTAGTTGAGTGATCATATTACATATCGATCAGTATAATCCTATCAGAAATAAAATCTAAGGGAGATGACATTTGCTTTCACCTAGTGATCACTTTGTCTCAGTAGTATGATTGAGTGCAGAAAGTGCTGGAATCCCTCACAAGAGTCAATATCCACTTTTAGGTCTAATACTCTAAATAAAAATATTATAATCTCCGTTGTTCAATTCAAGTCAGGTACCATAAGATTTAATGTAATTTTTAGCACGTTTTAATCTTAATATTGTCAGAATCTGATCGAGACCTTACTTTCTGTATCTAATGTTTATTCCTACTTGAATCGTGTTCGGAAAATAAATACACCTTGGTATTTCATTTTTAGGGGGCAAATCAGGAGCTCCGATCAAATCTTCGTGATATACGCATGAGTAGTGCTTTATATGAGGTAAAACTGAACGAGGCACATAATCGAATTAAACAGTTGGAGTCGCAGCTTGAATCAGTTGATCTCTTAAATAATAATACACCAAGCCAAACATTTATTGAGGGTCAGTCACCTCTTCCAAAAGATACTAACCCTGATACAGCTAAAGTTATTTTATCACTAGAAGAACACTTACTGACAATGATGAAAGATATTAGTGATAAAAATACACAACTTGCCTATATTGACAATCAAATGGAAGCTGCAAGGAGAAAATATTCTGTTTGTAAACACCATCAAGGTTTATTGTATCGGGACTTTTATAATGAACGCCAAGTAAGTTTGTGTATTAGATGTAAGAATTTATATAAATAAATTTATATAACAACATTCTCACTTCAGTTAATTAGGAGGTTTTGATTCTGTTAAGGATGAGTATGCAATTTCTACAGATAGTGAAGAGAACTTAAATGTCTTCACATTCACATGGAAATTTAATTTGTACTTCTCTATATGATACAGATTTTGCCTGTCTGTCAAGATTTCTATTATGTTGTAAAAACTATGGAAGTGACAGAGGCTTTGTCTTTGTTCTTTCCATTCACGTGCGTCTGCTCCCCATTATTTTTTTGATACCTGAAATTATAATAAACAGGAAATACTTAGTGTGTCTACATGCTGTTCTTAGTTTATTGATTTGTTTGTTTTTAAATTGATTTTAAAGTTTCTTATTTAACCCTGACATAACCTGGAAATTCTTCTTAGCAGACATTGATACCGTGTGGTGAAGCACTAATTTTCAGGGTTCATGTTTATTTAGTCTCTTATGTAAATATTTTTATTTGGCTACCCACTGTACACAACACTTCTGACACATTTCTTATTATTTAATAACTTGACAGTAATTGGTTCTATTTTATTAACGAATAGTTTTAAAGGATTAAACGCATAGGGTAGAAATTTTTCAGATCTAATTTGTTTTGGGCGATAGTTTTTATTCAGATTGAAATGAGTTCATCTGTAGAAATCTTCTTTTCAGTAAAGTCACTATTTTATTTACTTATCTTTTTAAAAAAACATCCCATTCTTGTTGAAATCGTTCATTGAAAAATGAATGTAAATACTACAAACTGTAATGAACTAATAGATGAATTGAAATTTATGTGGATAGAACATGAATTAGGACCACAGCGAATGTCGTTAACACGTCAAATTTCAATTGGTATTGTATATACTTCTATTTTTTGTACTGGTCTACTTGGTAATTTAGCTACATGTATCGTAATTGCTCGTAATTCGTTTATGCATACCAGGACAAATTGTTATTTATTTACATTATCTGTCAGTGATTTATTATTATTAATTTTTGGTAAGTTATTATTGACTAATTCTAATTTGTGTTACAACGACTTCTTATATCACTGAAATTAAAATAAAAATGATCACAGTATTTAGGTATATGATCTATAAATATATTTTATATATTTTGAAGGTGATATTCATCAAAAATAACTGTTCAGAGGAGAACTGTCGAATGCCATTTGGTATTACGCATTTTTGTTGCCCCACCATAGAGCTACTTATATATATGTTTTATAACCCAGTACCACTCTACCATCAAACTCTGGTGATAGAATTCATTTATTTATATCCTAGTTCTCATCATAATTATTCTCACATCCAAAACAATTGTTTTTGCATGTCATAGTTTCAGAAAATCCATCTATAGACTATTCACTTATAAGCCAAGAATCGTGAGTGGATGGGTTAGATGAGTTGCCAAATTTTTTGAAAAGACGGCAATGTGCAGGGAGCAAAATATTGCTTGAGTATTTTTAAACTCTGCAAAAATAGTATATCGATTTAGATGTGTGAGTAAAAATATGCAGACGAAATTATGACGTAACCATTAGAAAGATGAAGCTTTTTGTTTTACACCAGAATAACTGTCGAACATCTGTATGTACACTTTACGGGTATTAAGCCGTAGAGAAGAAAAATAGTGAAACATAAGATTAAGTAACTACTGCACAAAATCAAATTACAGATATTTGGTAATATGTTTATGCTGAGCAGTTAAACAGTTAGTAACATAATTACACCAATGAAATACCTTTGTTATATTTAACAATGGTCGTTGAGATTGAAATATCAATTGTAATTAAAGCGTAATGGTCCTGTGCTTAATACCATAAAATAGATTTACTTCATGAAAGTGTTTGCTTTAACACATGATAATTCGATGGAGTATTTGAGAATGTGTAAGGTTTATTAAACTTGGTCATTTAGATTTATATCAAACAGTGTGTGTAATTACTGGTTTGTTTCTCACTTTCGTATAAAACGGACTCAATAAATCTCAAAAGAATACCGAAATCAAATTTACAATGGATTTCCAAAAGATAAATACTAAAATCCATTTCATTTGATGCAAACGTTTTCAGTTGGCTGATAAATATCAAATGGAAATGTCAAAGCATGGGGTAAAGTAATTTACTGATTTGTCAATATGTTTACATCCGAATAATTGAATCATTTAGATAAACTTGGACGATTCAATGATCAACGCAGGGTGAAAATATAGTTTGAACTACGCTTTTGTAGTTTTAACACTGATCAATTTGTGCCTCTTAAAAATGCTCTCATTTAGTCGCCGTCGTAATAGCTGTAAAATCCAACATGTATTCAACACATATTTTTAGTTGAAGAAGGATAAAGTTACGTTAGAATTATTGCACAATTTTTATTATCATATTTAGTGTACTTATATTATGTAATAGATAACTGATAATTTCTGAACCGATCAAAAATATCTGTATTTGAAGATAATTAGCGCATGATCCTTGTTATATTATTTTTTCTGAATATTAAAAAGGTAATAAAACGTAGAATCATAAAAGTCGCAAAAATGTTTTATATGTAACCATGTCTAAACATAAACATGTATATCATGTATATATACAGAGCACTGAGATAATCATTATAAAAAAAACAAATCTCAGACTTGAGCAAAATATCAAATAAAATAGTAATACATTCAATGGTTAAATAAGATATTAATATTATCAGTTAAAAGCTGTTTAAGCAAGGTATCTGGATGGTGTAATTTCAAAAGAAACAAATGATTGAAACAATATTTATTAGGAAAAATGGTATATAAATTACTTTGTGATTGTCAGCCCTTACAAAATACAGTGATATTACCTATCGGTGCTTTAGTGCTGTGTTTGTAATTAACCTGTTATCTACGTAGAAATTATATTAATAAATTACTGTCAAATGATGAAGTATTCTTAAAGTACTAACTTCAACGTTAGCAACAAAATTATTAAGAGCAGTACAAGATGAATGACGATTCGTTTTTTTAATAAACGTATTTATGGAAATCATAGAATGATGCTTTTGAAAGATCTTCCATTATTCAAAGTAAGTCTGCTCAACACTTGGTCAAATAAAACTTTAATGCGTTATTTTTTATTTATGGAAGATGCTTTCAATGATTATTATGTACTTAAGTTAGTTTCATCAAAATGTGTAAGCTATTTTGTGGAGATCATATTATTTCCTATCATTTGAATTATACTACGATACGATCGCCAACATTAAAATCATAACAAATTAAACCAATCGGATTACAACAATAGAGAGAAAAAAGTATGGTGTCAAGGATCATATACGTATATATTGTCTTTTTTTAAACATTATCTAATGTTTTAGTGACTTTTACCAATTCTTGTAAGAAATCTGATAATATACATTAAAGATTCCACAAATCTTGACAACAAACAGCGGATTCCTCACTTTCGTTGCTATAAAAGTTGATTTTTGCATTATACGTTCTTCAGGGCGGATATTCTTTTTGGCTTTTTATATTTTGAAATTAGTGTTCCGTTTGGTATGGTTATTGGAGTTAATAGTTTATAAGGTCAAGTTTGCAAAATAACTATCAGGTTTTAGATCTTACATGTCAAAGGTCCAATATACGTTTATCCATATATATTTTCAAAGTAATTTTCTATTTCGTGCGTTTTATGATATGAACCCAGTTAAAAGGTTAATTTGACTGAAATATTGTAAGCATATTTCCCAAAAATCATGAATGTGGCAAAGGCTCTTAATCTTGATATTCCAGAGACCAGTATTTTCGAGACTCAACTACAATTATGATGAAGTGGTTCCATTAAATCTTACAAATAATCAGACGTTCATCGTCTAAAGAGGATTTCGTTGCTATCACACCTAAAGAACTTATATATATTATTAACTGTTATTAATAATAAACAAGGTAATTAATTAGTAGTTCTTTCAACGTACTAATTATTTTATCGACATTCCGGATAAAATCAACCCTAGCCTAATTATAAACATACATAGAAGATACTATAGGATTAATGTCAACAGTCTGATTTATTCTTTAATTCTTGTTGCTTGTTTACATCATCATATCCAGAAAAAAGAATTCGTCAAGAGTCATTATGCACTCATGTCTCTAAATGAATTTTATGGAAATCTAAAACAAATACTCGTTCAGGATAGGTAAGTATTCATCTAGTCACACACACTACGTTGTAATAACATGTTTGCATTAGTTTAGTCTTTTCACATATTTGTTGCTTGAATTATTTCATATCCCAGATATCTCAAAAAGTGAATGTTACGTACTGGGCTTGGTTGTGTAACAATACTTTGGTTTTGTTTCTCTTGCCATCATAAGGTTTCACAAGATCGTTAATCACCAATAGGTAGTTTGATCTGCTTTTCAAAAGACTGATGCCCATTGAAAAATCTGTTGATACTTATGAATAGTTACCTTAGTTTATATTCAAATCACATTCGTTCAATGTATTAAATAAGGTATTAAACAAACGATTCCTCTACAATTGCTATAATCACTATCATTCAATGTATAAATAAGAATTAAAAACTTTACCTGACATCTAAATTTAATTTTCAGATATAAAAGTATTATTCTATTTTAGTTAATAAAGTATAATATCTTACGGAAACACATACAACAAACCTAGCATGAAACTGAAAGTTGAAGTAGATATACCTAATTGAGTTTACTTTAAATGTTAGTTTCGGTGAAAGTTTTGTCAACTCTGGAGGTACGATAGTGAATAGAGCTAATTTAACATATTTTAACCTTATTGATTTTTTTAGTGTGATTTAGTGATGCCGCTGCTTATCAACTCTCATCTGGATAGTTGAGAATAAAGTAGATAGTTTAAACTGAAGTATAAATATAGTTTACAATGATAAAAATGAATCACCTCTATACAGTTCAGTCATAACGCTGTCATGAAATTGAAATGTTTATTAAAAATGATAAACTAAATGATCGATATCATGGTTGAAGTTGATATTGACATGAA